AAAAAACAGGACTCAAAAAACAGCCAACCATGAGGTACACCCCCATCAAACCCCAGTAAAATAATGTAGAAACCACCAAAACCAGCTTAGAACTGGGAAGACTTGGCAGACACTGAACGGGACCCCGTTAAAGTCGTCAAACCATGAATTAAAACCTAAAATATGAGCCAGAACTTCACTAGGGTTGATAAAAATGAGCAAAGAAACAAAATGTAACTCACATAACCAGCAAGAAAAAACTTGTAGGAGCCACAAAAATCAGCCAAAGCCTTTCTTGAAGCCACAAAAATCAACAATGAGTGATGTAGAGCTGGTAAAAAGATCAGCGAAAACTGAACTAGACCCCAGAAAAAAATGTGCAAAAACCTCAAAACCCACAAAAGTCAACAACTAGCGATGATAAAAATGACCACAAATTGAATCAGAGCCTGGAAAAAAACAGCAAGAAGTCCCCCTACAATCCATAAAAAATCAGCAGAAGCTGAATGAGAATGGCCAAAAATCAGCAAAACTGAGCTAAAACACAGAAATCATCAATGGCCCAGAACCCATAAGAAAAACCTATTATAACCCCTAAAAATCATAACGAATGTGAATAGAACCTATCAAAATAAGGATAATCTGCCCTGGAACCAATGAAAAGCCATCCAGTCTGATAAAAAACCAGCAAAAAATTACCCAGAACCAATAAAAACTAGCCCATTGTGACCTAAAGAGCCCATGTGAAATAGGGAGCCAGGGGCCCTAAAGATCATCAGGAGCTGAACCAAAATCAATCAAATTCAGCTACGAAACCCCATGGAACCCACAAAAAGCAGCAAATAGTACTTAGAATCAATAAAAAAACCGTAAGAAAAAGCTCTAGATCCCCCCCCAAAATCAGCAACTAGTGACGTAGAACCAATCAAAAATAGCAACCCCGCCTGGAAACCCAAAAAATCAATAAAAAGCCCCTGAGAACCTACAAAAATCAGCAAATAGTAACCTGGAATCAATAAAAAATAGCAACGCCCCAGAATGCACAAAAATCACAAAAAAACCCCTAGAACTTACCCAAAAAAGCCAATAGTGACCTATAAGTATTAAAAATCAATAAAAAAGCCCCCCAGAACCCACAAAAATGAGCAACCCCTCCAATGTACACAAAACAGCAGTGGCCTAGAATGATTAAAAATGAGCAACCCCCCCAAAACGCAGAAAAAACAACAAAAAACCTCTAGAGCCCACAAAAAACAGTACCTTTGAGTCAATAAAAATCAGCAACCCCCCAAAAAACAATAAAAACCAATTAGAAAAACCCAAGAGCCCACAAAAACCATCAGGTCATGACTTAGCCATTCAAAATAAGCCAAAAACCTCAGTAGAGCCCCAAGAAATCAGCAAAAAACCCCCAAAGAACCCACATAAATCAGAAAAAAACCCTCTAGACCCCATAAAAATGAGCAAAAAACTCTACAACCCGCAAAAATCGGCAAATAGTGCCCTTGATTCAATGAAAAATCAGCAACTCAGTAGCAACAAAAATCAACTAAGCCAAATGCACAAAAAATAGCAAATCATGACCTAGGCATTTGAAATCAGCCAAAAAACTCACTAGTGCCCCAAAAAATCAGCAACGCCCCCAAAACAACCAGTAAATAGTGACCAGGAATCAATACAAAGCAAAAAATACTAGAACCCTCCCCCCAACCCCCTCCTCCCATCTACAAAAATCAGCATATAGCGACCTGGAATTGATAAAAAAAATCAACGCCCTCCCCAAGAACCCACAAAAATCAGCAAATAGTGACCGAGAGTCATTTAAAATCAGCAAAAAACCCTAAATCCTATCAAAATCAGCATATGGTGACCTGGAATCAATAAAAAATTAGAAAAAATGCTCCCTAAACCCACAAAAATCAGCAAATAGTGAACAGTAAAATAGTGAGTCATTAAAAATCAGCCAAAAAACCCCACTAGATCCCATTAAAAATCACCAAAACCCCCACAAAAATAAGCACAAAACCTACAAAAATCAGGAGACAATGACCTGGAACCAATAAAAATTGGCAAAAACACCCTGGAAACCCACAACAATCAGTAAAAGAAAAAAACCCCAACCCTTGAACCCACAAATATCAGCAAAAAATCCCCCCAAAAACACAAAAATCAGCAACTGGCCCCGTCGGATCAAGAACTGGCAATGGAGAACCAATCAAAAGTAAGAGCTGGTGAGGAAGAGCCAATAAAAAATAAGCAAATCTCAGTGCGATCCTTTCAAAAACATCAACAAAAAAGAGCTAGAAATAGTCAAAAGTGGGAACAACCCACCCTACCCCCACCCCCAAGTCAACTTGGCCAGGCCCGGACTCGGCAATCAACGGTGAATTGCCCAATCGGACCTGCAGCAAAAGCAAACCCACATCAGCCTAAAACGCCCCAAATCAACAGAAACCAGCCCCACAGCAGCTCCCAAAGCAGGGCTGGTCACCCACTTTTTCATTCATAATTTTTCTGATTCTCCTCATTCTTCGGCCCAAATCCGGGCCTTTTCCGCCCAAAATGGCTGCCCCCAAAGGGGTTTTTTTGACCCCAAAAACAATTGCTTGATTTTTTTATTATTATTATTATTATTCTTCCCCCCCCCTTTTTTTTTTTTTTTTTACCCATTTCTTGATTTTTTTATTTTTATTTTTATTATTTTTTTGGCCTTTTTGGTGGGGGGGTGGTTCTTAAAGCTGCGGTGCACATGAGGCTGGCAGGGTGAGGGGGGACCCTTGTTCCCCTCTATCTCCCTCCCCCCCAACAGTTTTGGTCTGAACTGGAAGCTGGGGAAAGGGGGACTGGGAGGTACTGGAAGCCTGGACCCCTCCCCACATTCGACCCATATCAACCCCACAGCAGTGATGGCGGTAGAAGGGGGCGCTGCACCAGACTGGGGGGTCACAGTGGTGCCTCCCCCCAGTGCCCACAGGGGCTGCCCCAGAGCTGACCCCGCCCACTTTGAACTCCCTTGTGTGAGTCCCAGATACCTGTGTGTGTGTGTGTGTGTGTGTCCATGTCCATGTCCTAGATGACCAAGTTCTGTGTGTGTGTGTCATGGATGTCTGGGTTCTGTGTGTGTGCATGCATGTGTGCCTGTGTGTATGTGTGTCCCAGATGCCTGCACTTTGTGTGTGTGTGTGTGTGTGTGAGACCCCTTGAGTTCTGTGCATCTGTGTGTGTGTGTGTGTGATTGTGTGCGCACATGTGCATGTCCCAGGCATCTCGGTTATGCTGTGTGTGTATGTGTGTCTGTCTGTCTGTCTGTCCCAGATGCCTGGGTTGTATGTGTGTGACACCCAAGTTCTGTGCCTGCATGTGTGTGTGCATGTGCATACGTGCGTGTCTCGGGTGCCTGGGTTGTGTGTGTGTGTGTGTGTGTGTGTGTGTGTGTGTGTGTGTGTGTGTGTGTGTGTGTGTATGCATGTACACATATATCCCAGGTACCTTGGTTTTGCTGTGTGTGTGCATGTGCATAAATATGAACACATCCGATCTCAGCCCTGTAGCTAAGTGTCTTGTGCCTGTAGCCGTGTAAGTGCACAAGTGTGCTACTGATGGGGGGTGGGGTGTGTGTATTGTCTTGGGTTCAAATGGTGCTGAGCGTGTATGCACGGCCAAAACGTGTGCACAATGGGGAAGGGGCAGACGAACCACAGGGTGTGGGTTTGAATGATGGGAGAGGTGTGCGAGCTGGCAGGCGAGTGTGTGACAGGCCCCCATGTGTCCACTGACCTCTCTGAATGTGTGCAAGAGCTCTGGTGAGTATGCAAGGGGCTGGATGTGTGTGCGAGGGGATGGACACCTGCAGGAATCCTGGTGAGTGAGAGAGGGGCTGGGCACAGGTGTTAGAGCTGCCATGAGTGTATGAATGGCTTGGTGAGTGTGTGAGAGCCCCCATGAGTGTGCAAGGGGCTGGACATGTGTGAGAGAGCCCTGGTGAGTATGAGCGCCCCCACAAGTGTGCATATGGCTCATTGTGGCAGCTCTAGTGAGTGTGCAAGGGACTCAGCATGCAAGAGCCTTGGTAAACGTTCAAGGGACTCAGTGAGTGTGTAACAGCTCTGCTGAGTGTGTAAGGGCCTGGACATGTGCACATGCCTTTGTGTGTGTCCAAGGGACTCAGTGAGTATGCGAGAAACATGGTGAGATTGTGGGGCCTGGATATCCTGAATGTAGGTCTTGGTGAGTGTGCGAGAGGTCTGATGAGTGTGCAGGTATGTGTGCTCCCCCCATCACCCCTCCGGGTGCAGGGCAGGGGGCGGGGCTGAGCAACAGCCGCTAATTAAGGCTTCGTTGAGTCTAATTAACACTCTCCAGTTGGCACAGAATTAACGAGGCCCACGGTTGCCATGGAGATGGAGGTGACCTAGAAATGGAAGCATGTTTCCAAGGGGGGGGGACATCTTTTGGGCTGTTTCCATGGAAATGGGAGGGTTGGCAGGCGACCTTTGACCCTGGGGAGGAGCCATTGACCACCCCTTGGAAGATACCTCTGACCCCTCGGGCATCAGCCCTCAGACTCCCACTGCACTGGGCTCATGACCCCTGACCTCTTCCAGGCATCTTTGACCCCCTCCCCTTCTCCATTCATTTTGGTGACCCCTGGCCCCTAGAAATACCCCGTCCCAGAGCCTCCAGCCCCAGGGCCTTCTGCCTTGTTGACCTTTGACCCCCTCCCCCATTCAGCTCAGTGACCTCTGACCCCTAGAAACACCCTGTCCCAGGGCCTCTTACCCCAGACCCTTCTGCCCTGTTGACCTTTGACCCCTCCCCTCCTGAGTTCTCCCATATACCCATATCCATGCAAGGGACCTTCTGCCCTCTGCCATGACTTCGTTCACCTCTGATCCCTCTAGCTCCATGAACCTTGACCCCTTGGCGGGAGGGAGGGGGGAAGCTGCCCCTTCTTCGGCAACAGAGCCATAGCAGGGGGCTTTAGTTGCACCCAAGCCCCACCCCGCAGCTCTGCGGGAAGAGTGGGGCAGATCGGGGAGGGAGGGAAATAGGACGGGGGGGTGGGCCAAGGGCTGGAGCGGGTTTCCAGCAGATGTGGGGGTGGGGCAGCTTGTGACACCCAGTCTCTCTTCCCACCCCACAGACATCCGGGACAGTGGGAAGAAGCCAGTGATGCTCTTCATCCATGGCGGGTCCTACATGGAGGGCACGGGCAACATGTTCGACGGCAGTGTGCTGGCCGCCTATGGCAATGTCATCGTGGTCACCATGAACTACCGGCTTGGCGTGCTTGGTGAGACCCTGCCCCCCAGCCCCATGCTTCCTTTCATCCCTCCATCCATCCCCTGATCTGCCCAACACACCCTCCATCCATCCATCCCTTGATCACCCAACACACCTTCTATCCATCTGTCCGTCTATCCATCCACCCCTTGAGCACCTAACATATCCATCCATCCATCCATCCATCCCCTGATCTACCCAACACTACCCATCCATCCATCCACCCCTTGACCACCCAACAACCCTCCATCCATCCATCTGCCCATCCATCCATCCTTCCATCCATCCTCTGATCTACCCAACACACCATCCATCCATGCGTCTATCCGTTCATCCATCCATTCTCTGATCTAACCAACACTCCATCCATCCCACGCACAGCTTTTCATCCATCCCCATACTCTTCCGTTCCTCCCTCTACCCATTTATCCATCCATCCGCTGATCCACCCAACACACCCTCCGCCTATCCATCCACTCTCTCGTCTGGCCATTCACCCAAAATGCCATCCACCCATCCCTCCATCCTTCTACTCAACACCCTGTCTATACATCCCCACTCCTCCGTTCATCCCTGTCCCCATCCATCCATTGCTCGGTCCACCCAATATACCCTTCCTCCATCCACCCAACACACCACCCATCCCACACATCCATCCATGTATCCATCTACTCACCACACCCTCTTTTCCTCCCTCTCTCCATCTCCATCCGTCCATCTACTCGACACTTTCTTTCCATCCCCCACCCATCTATCCGCTCCAATACACCCTCAGTCCATCCATCCATCCATCCATCCAATACACCCATCATCCATCCCTTTACCCATCTATCCTTCCCCACACTCATCCATCTCTCCTCCAACCTTTCTCCATGCCCTTTGCTCATACCCCCCTTACTGCCCCTCTGGCAAGGGGGAACACAATGGAGAGGGGTCTTTTGGCCTTCCAGGAGGGGCTGGGGACGGGGCCATTCTTCCTGAGGGGATGGGCTATCATCCGCATGCCCCTTCCCCTTTTGCCTCCAAGGGGACCAGTGGGTTATACCGAGCTCCCTCCCCAGGGGGGTGAGATGCAGTCGCCTCTGGGGTGGGGCATGTTGGGGGCTGGGTGGAATGGGGGAGGGGCCTCCGAAGGCTGGTGTGACCCCTCCCCTGCCTTTCCCAGGGTTCCTCAGCACGGGGGACCAGGCGGCCAAGGGCAACTACGGGCTGCTGGACCAGATCCAGGCGCTGCGGTGGCTCAACGAGAATATCGGGCACTTTGGGGGCGACCCCGAGCGAATCACCATCTTCGGCTCGGGTGCCGGTGCGTCCTGCGTCAACCTGCTCATCCTCTCCCACCACTCGGAAGGTACCAGCCCCACCCTCTCCCGGGGGAACCCCTTCAGGGAATGGGCCCCAGCCCCAGGGCCCTGGGGATCGATCTGGCCATCTATCCACAGGCACTGCCTCCACCCATCCATCCAGCCATCCTTCTCTTAGCCCTTCCTCTGTCTAGACAGCCATCCATCCATCCTTCTCTCAACCTTTCATCCATCTCTCTCAGCTTTTCATCCATCCATCCATCCATCATAGGCCTTCATCCGTCCATCCATCTCTCTCAGCCTTTCATCCATCCATCCATCCACCCATGCTTCTCTCTCATCCATCCATCGTCCCCTCACCCTGCCGTCTGACCCTCTCCCTCACTCCCACCCAGGTCTCTTCCAGAAGGCCATTGCACAGAGTGGGACAGCCATCTCCAGCTGGTCTGTCAACTACCAGCCCCTCAAGTACACTCGCCTGCTGGCCTCCAAGGTAGGCTGTGACCACCTGGACACGGCCGAGGCAGTGGAGTGCCTCCGCCGCAAGCCCTACCGTGAGCTGGTAGACCAGGACATCCAGCCAGCCCGGTACCACATTGCCTTTGGGCCCGTGGTGGATGGAGATGTGGTTCCTGATGACCCCGAGATCCTGATGCAGCAAGGCGAGTTCCTCAACTACGATATTCTCATCGGGGTGAACCAGGGTGAGGGGCTGAAGTTCGTGGAGGACTCGATGGAGAATGAGGACGGGATCTCAGCCAGCTACTTCGACTTCACCATCTCCAACTTTGTGGACAACCTGTACGGGTACCCAGAGGGCAAGGACATCCTGCGGGAGACCATTAAGTTCATGTACACAGATTGGGCCGATCGGGACAACGGGGAGATGAGGAGGAAGACCCTCCTGGCCCTCTTCACTGACCACCAGTGGGTGGCCCCGGCAGTTGCCACGGCCAAGCTCCATGCCGAGTACCAGTCACCCGTCTACTTCTACACCTTCTACCACCACTGCCAGACGGACACACGGCCGGAGTGGGCTGACGCAGCCCATGGGGATGAGATCCCCTACGTCTTTGGTGTTCCCATGATTGGGGCCACCGACCTCTTCCCCTGCAACTTCTCCAAGAATGATGTCATGCTGAGCGCTGTGGTGATGACCTACTGGACCAACTTTGCCAAGACAGGGTGAGCGGGTGGTGGCGGGGGGAGGGGGAGGGATGAGGAAGGCAAGGGAGTGAGGGTGAGTGGATGGATGGAAATGAGAAGGGATGGATGGGTGGATAGATGGATGGGTGGGTTGGTGGGTAGAAGTGAAAAGAGATGGATGGATGGATGGATGGATGGGTGAGGAGATGGAGGGAGGGAGGGGTATGGTGCTAGGGGCCAGCTGGCTGTCTGGTGAAGCATGGAGGGGGTGAGGAGGGAGGAACGAAGGTCAAAGGGAAAGAAGAACATATGTGATGGTGGGTGGATGAGTGTGAGGAGCTGCCTAGCTGCGTGTGCAGAGTGAATTGAAGGCGATTAGATGGAAAAGTGGAGTTGGTGGGATGGATGGATGGTGTGTTGGGTGGAGATGAACAGATAGATAGATGGTTGGGGGGTTTGAGGAGATGGATGGATGGGAACAAGTGGACCAATGGATGGGTAAATAGATTGGGGTTTGGGAGTGAATATGAAGGACTACATGGATGATGCTTTGGGCAGATGGATGGAGAAGGATGGGTGGGTGGTGGGTTGGGTGGTTAGATGGATGGATGGACACACAGAGATGGATGGATGGTAGGTTGGGTGAGTGATTGGATGGAGGAAAGCATGGAGATGGAGGGGTGGACATGTGGAGATGGATGGGTAGCTGTCAGGTGGGCGGATGGATGGAGGAATGGAGATGAATGGATGGACACTTATTCATAGTTTCATAGTTTCATAGTTTCAGGGTCGGAAGGGACCTAATAGATCTTCTAGCCCGACCCCCCGCCAGGGTGGGAGAACAACCCAAAAAAAAAACAAAAAACACTCACCCTAAAAACAAAAACGGGACTCAAATGAGTCCAGCCAGGTAAGTATCCAGCCTCTTCTTAAAGATCCCCAGGGTAGGGGCCAGCACCACCTCCCTTGGAAGTTGGTTCCAGCTCCTAGCCGCCCTAACTGTGAAGTAGTTTTTTCGGATGTCCAATCTGTACCTCCTCTCCCTCAACTTGTGCCCATTACTCCTTGTTATGGCAGCGGGGGCTAGGGGAAACAGCATCTCCCCCAAACCCTTCTGGTTCCCCCTAGTGAGTTTATAGACGGTCACCAGGTCCCCCCTCAGCCTTCTCTTGTGGAGGCTGAATAGGTTCAAGTCCCGCAGTCTCTCACTGTAGGGTCTGCCCTGTTGTCCCCGGATCATGCGGGTGGCCCTCCTCTGGACCCTCTCCATGTTGTCCACATCCCTCCTGAAATGGGGCGCACAGAACTGGACACAATACTCCAGCTGCGGCCTGACCAGCGTCGCATAGAGGGGGAGGATCACCTCCCTGGCTCTACTCGAGATGCAGAGATCACCTCCCTGGCTCTACTTAGGGATGCATGGAGGGTGGCTTGGGTGGGTAGTTGGATGGATGGATTGATGCATGGAGATGGATGGATAGTGGATTGGATGGGATGATGGATGGATGGACACGTGGAGATGGAGGGATGGCTGTTGGGTGGCTGGATAGACAGAGGGATGGAGATGGATGAATGTTGGATGGGTGGGGAGGCAGATGGACGTGTGGAGATGGATGAATGGCCATGGGGTGGGGGGATGGAAATGGATGGATGGAGGAATGGAGATGGATGCATGGTGGATTCGATTGGTGGATGGGTGGAGATGCGTGGATGGATGCGTGGAGATGGATGGACGGCCATTGGGTGGGTGGACATGGATGGATACTAGATTGGGTGGATGGATGGAGATGGATGGATGGATGGATGTGTGGAGATGGATGAGTGGACACATGGAGATGGATAGATGGATATGTGGGGATGGATGGATGGCCATTGGGTGAGTGGAGATGGATGGATACTAGATTGGGTGGGTGGATGGAGAGATGGAGATGGATGCACGCGTGGAGATGGATGGATGGCCGTTGGGTTGGGCAGGTGGGTGGGTGGCTCCTCTGGGTCCCCCATCCCAACTAACCCCTTCTCCCCTCCCCTCTCCCCCCTCCCCGCAGTGACCCCAATCAGCCAGTCCCCCAGGACACCAAGTTCATTCACACCAAGCCCAACCGCTTTGAGGAGGTGGTGTGGACGAAGTTCAACACCAAGGACAAGCAGTATCTACACATTGGCCTCAAGCCCCGCGTCCGTGACAACTACCGAGCCAACAAAGTGGCCTTCTGGCTGGAGCTGGTGCCCCACCTCCACAACCTCCACGAGATCATCTACACATCCACCACCACCCGCCTCCCGCCCTATGGCACCCGCTGGCCCCCTGGCGGGCGCCCAGGGCCCAGTACTACCCGCCGCCCCTTCCCTACGCTCCCGCCTGACGAGGACGAGACGGACGACCGGCGCCGCTATGCGCCCTTCCCAGGGGACTCCCGTGATTACTCCACGGAGCTGAGCGTGACGGTGGCTGTGGGGGCCTCTCTGCTCTTCCTCAACATCTTGGCCTTTGCTGCCCTCTACTACAAGCGGGACAAGAGGCATGAGCTGAGGGGAGCGCCGGGGGGCAGTATGGTGGCTGTGGGGGCAGCAGCGGCTCGTCGCCTCAGTCCCCAACGCAACGCAGCCAATGACCTCCTCCACGCTGGGCAGGAGGAGGAGATCATGTCGCTGCAGATCAAGCACGCCGAGCATGACACCCACGATCTGGAGCCCTTGAGGCCCCATGAGCTCCTGCGCCCGGCCTGTCCCCCGGACTACACCCTGGCCCTGCGGCGGGCGCCCGATGACGTCCCGCTCATGACGCCCAACACCATCACCATGATCCCTAGCACCATCACAGGCATCCAGGCATTGCACCCATTCAACACTTTCCCAGCTGGCCACAATCCCACTCCACCACGCGTGTATAGTGGCCTCCCCCCTCCCCCTGCCCCCTTGTCCCCCTTCCTCAGCTCCCCATGGCACCAGGGAATCCAGGCGTCCAACAGCAAATGGATACCGCCAAGGTCCTTCCAACAGGGAGGCACCATGGGCCACCCCCTGCCCTTAGGAGGTCCCAGCATGGTCGCCACTCCGGGTAACGGTGACCACGTCATGTCCTTCCCAGATGGCGGATGGGGGACATCAACTGCCCATTGGGTGGGAGCCACCCAATGGCCATCCAAGATGGCAGAGAGGGGATGCCAACGCCCGTTGGGTGGGAGCCGCTCAGTGGCCATCCAAGATGGCAGACAAGGGACACCAGCTGCCCGTTAGGTGGGAGCCACCCAATGGCCATCCAAGATGGTGGAGAGAGGTCGCCAGCCACCCACTGACTCTTCTGGATGGTGGTCATCCAACACGGCAGAAGGGGATGCCCGCCATGCCATTGGCTGGACCCAATGCTATCCCAAGAGGCTGCCAGCCCCCTACGGCATGGGGCTGAGAGACCCCCTCCCCCCCGCTGTTGCCACGGAGCCCAAGGGGGGTCTCAGGGAGGGGGCGGGCG